CTTTTTGTACTCAATAATATAGTCAAATCGATTATAAATTGAAGAATATTTTCTTTTGTTTTCTATTTTAACAGTCTTATTTCCAAAATATGGGGTATCTTCGAAATAGACATATTGATTTCACAAAGATGTATTTGATGTGAATATATTTACAAATGAACAAAAGTTCAGATGCCCACCTTTTTTCTGCACAGTATGTGGTTTATTATCGATTAATGTCAACAGAGTCGAGAATTCCATGTTATGATTATAAAAATCATCAAACACGAAAACTTTGTTTTCGTCATATCCTTCGAACCATATTCTGTCATTTTGCGATTTATGATATGCGTTAGGAAAAAATATTTGTATCAAGTAATCCTTTCCAGTTCTCGAGTCACCATAAATATAGATGTTGCATAGAGTAAAGCATCTCTTGAACGATTTCTTTTGACTATCACAAATCGTGTTGTAAAGTTCTTTGATAATATGCGGTGCTGTTTCCGAATTAACAAAAGCATCTATAACAATTTCATTTATCGGTTTGATTTGTTCTTTGATATCTTCAATTGTTTGTTTACGTATTTTTTTTGTTCTTCTAAATGTTGATTAAAACCTTCAGCATTATGACTCATTGGCAATTCTCCAAATTCAAAGGGTCCAGAATTATCATCAATATGTGCGAATGTTCGAAATTTCAAGCAACTTTCATCATACTTGTCGTATATTTTTGTTAAATCAAAAAAATTACATCTACAATAAGGATGATGTTTTGAACATCGATTTCTATCTTTCTTACAATATCTAATCGCATCTTCAAATGTTCCATTATGATAATCAATGTGCATTTCTTCGTCTTGAAAAATACTTTTAATCGTTGAAGCTTTTTTACCATATTTATAATTTTCCAATCTCAATTGTGTCCACAATATACAAAAACCTTGAATATGTTTTTTACTTGTTTTAGTATATTCATATTGAAAAACTATATATCGAATATTTTTTTTGGTTTTTTTTTTTTTCGGTGTTAAGGTGAGGTCTTGCCTCGTATCTTTATTAGATGTTAAATTTCGCCTTATATGGCTACATATAATCTTAAGAATACTAAGCTTAGACAATTTTATCTACGACCTAAACCTACTAGAGTATGCTACGTTCCCACTACATATTGGGTTATACCTGGATTTGATGTTCAAACTATATCTAGTTACCCACCGCATTCACCCATGTCTCACTGTTAAACCTTAGTAACTCCCAAATTAGTTCATTCGAGTAATCGGTCCCTAATGGCCTCCCAATTTGGTATGCCTGTTATTCGAGGTATTTCTAAACTGGTATACCCCTTCTTATAGGTGGCCTCTCATCCACGTTTCTCAAGCCAGGTACCTGCTGCCGCTGCTAGTCCTACATGAGAAGCATTGGTATTATATGTTGGAAAGGGGACTTATCATGGGTTTGCACCGCTCAATTTCTGCCAGCTTGTATTCCTTCATGCAACTTATATTATATGAATGCCCCAAACCTCCCACTTGTATCCCCAGGTATACTAGCCTCGTATCTCAAGCCAGATCCCTGCTGCCGCCACCCGGTTTGCCGTCTCCAGGTCTTAACGTTTCTTAAATTTTTTAGTGTAATGTACTACTTACTACCCCCTAAGTACTCCCTTATATGGTATTCGTCAGGACTATAGGTCGTGAGGACCCCTTGAGTTGTATAGCAACTACAAGACTACACACTCTCAGCCATTGGCTTTTTTCATAATTCTGCTTTAATGACCTATCTTGTTAAAGACCAGCCTAATACCATGAAATTACTTAAGTGGCAAGCTAAATCACTTCTAGCTAGCTATTTGTAGTTGGTGTCACATTAATGTTGATAAATCCTAACTCTTTTTTGTCATAGACTTCCATATAGATGTGACCAGAGCCCGAATTGGTACCTTTGAATATTTTT